TTTTCTCAGTTCCTTGCAGGACCCTGATTAACTTAGACAAGATTTGACTGAGATTTATGCTATGGGAATTAAGAAAAATCCTCTTTTCTGTCTCACTCTCTCTCTCTCTCTCTCTCTCTCTCTCTCTCTCTCTCTCTCTCTCTCATTCCATTTTATCACAGGCAGGATAATCAGTGTTATATTATATAGTCAAAAACTATAAATTCAGGGGAAGAGAGCAGAAAGGGACCTACTCTAGTCCCTCCAGTCTCACACACGGCTCCAGAATTTCATGTTCAGTTTCACCGATGAATCTAATGAGAAGCAAGGCTTCCTTAAGGTCAGAGATTTAGAAACTGAGACAGAAAATTAAATGTGGGGATGGTTTCTGTTTGATGAGTCCAGGCTCTAGGTGTGAATTTCAAGAGCCTGAGTACTCCCTGCAGGGGTGGCTGATGTCAGCCTGCACACATAACTGTGGTCCTCAAGGGCCCAGCACCTGGAAGAGAAGGCCTTCTGTGGGCCTTCCATTGACTGCCAAGATAATGTCACCAACTGCGATGGCCCCATGTTCCTCAGCTGGTTGCCCTGGAAAGAGCCGCTTGATCCTCACGAGATCATTCTTGAGGTGGCTGCAGTTTTCTCTCTCCATCTGCACAAAACTGAATCCCAAACCATTGATATTCTTTTTCAGTTTGACTTCAAACTTAAGACCTGCATTTGAAACATTGATAGAAATAAATCTTTCAGTAGGTTACAACTGATAAGCTTCAAAATGCAAATTGGCAAGGTACTGAATTATTTCTGACTTGCATGAAAAGATTTCACATGCTAATTTTCATGACAGAGTCTATTATACCTATTATAGACCAGTGCTGCCCAATAGAGATGTAATATGAGCTCAAATATAAACCATAGTGTCATTTCAAAGCTTTCAAATACGTACATTAAGAAAAAAGTAAGCAGGGGCGGCGGTGCACACCTGTAATCTCAGTGGCTCAGGAGGCTGAGGCAGGATTTCAAGTTCAAATTCAGCCTCAGCAATTCAGCAAGGCCTTAAGCAATTTAAAGAGACCCTGTCTCAAAATAAAACAAAAAAATGTCTGGATATATGGCTCAGTGGTTAAGCACCCCTGGGTTCAATCCCTGGTTCCAAAAACATGTAAAAGGAAACAGATATAATTAAAATCTTAATCATATATTTTATTCAACTCAATACAAATGATCCTCAATTTATGATAGGATTACATCCTGATAAACCCCTTACAAACTGAAAATATCAAATGTAACCTACAGTGCATCCTAGCTGAACAGCACATCACTCAGCAGAACATCCATTGTTTCTCCTCCCGAGCATGGCAGCTGTCTACCATCTCCAGAGATGATCGTCTGCATATCTTGCATGACCAACCCCAGAAAAGGTCAAACTTCAAAGCTGAGGGTATAATTTCTACTGAATGCTGCTTTTGCACCAGAGTAAAGTTGAAAAATTGTAAGTGAAGCCATCAAAAGTTAGGCACCATCTGCACATCTAAAATATTATCATTTCAACATATAATCAATATGAAAAAATATTAATGAGATATTTTGCATTCTTCTTATGAACGAAGTCTTCAAAACCAGTGGCTCAATAGCCACAATGGCAAGTGGTTAGCATATTGGACAGTGCCATTAAATGGACAATGCAATTATAGATAACCAACAAATAAATATAATGATATAATTTGTATTTGAATCAAATAAACATTATTCCTTTGTAACCCTACTTGTGTTTTTAGTATGCTCAATACTAAATTTTGTGTAATTAGGTCATGGGGACAATTATGGTCAACTCTGAGGATGTTTTAGTTGCACTTGTATTTGGTTGAATGGACTGACCATATGACAAAACAGTCATTCCTGAACACCAAAGATAGACACAACCCTGGACATCTAGGGAGTATGGCAGCAAAAGAAGTCCCTGGGCTTCCTCCTGTCAACCTTCACCAACTGAGCTGACATCAATGAACAAAAGGACAGAGCCTCAACTTGTAAACGTCAGTTGGGGCAAGAATGCAAGTGGCTGAAGCCATAGAGCGGAGACATGTGACACAGCAGATTTTACTAACACTATTTGAGCCTCCTTGGCTCAGTGTGTAGTCAGTTTTTCAAAGGTCTCCATTGAGGTATGCGAAAGAATAAGAAAAGAGGAAATACTTTGTTTCAGGATAAGTGTTCATCCTGCAGCCACCACATTACTCAACCCTATGACTACCTATATCCAGTCTGTCTCACACCTTCTGCAGGTATGTCCAAGATCTCTATGCAAGGCCTGGAATACGGCTAACTCTAAATCATGACATCATAGGAAAATAAACATTTTCAATCTAGCAGGAAACAAAATCACAAGAGACATGGAAAGAGGCAATCCATCAGAAGATGGGCAATTATGCCCTTCTATACTGATCATGGATTTGCTTTTCAAAATGATGTTTCTAATAAGGCTAGTTTCCTGAACACCCTCATCTCCCAACCTGCCTCATCAGTCCTCAGATAACTCTGTTACAAATGCCTTAGCTGGAATGCATGTCTTTGAAAACACATGACCCTTCCATTGCAATTTCATCCATAAATACTTAAACATTAATATTCAGACAGCTGATCAGAAAACTGAGGAAGGCTTGGGAGCAGAATTATGCCTGGTAATCATTTTGGAACAATACATTTGTTTTCTAGAAACATGTCCCATCAGCTCTGCCAATGATCATGATCTGCATTCCTGGCGGGTTGTTTTTTTTTTTTTTTTCAGAATCCAGAGGAAGTCTTCCTATCTTTCCCTTTTGACTCGACAATTCAAAAGCAGTACGTGATGACATGACAATAGTAACACTCGATTCTCTTTCCTCTTACCATCTGTCACCGAGACACAGCTCACAGGCCTGCCAGGCAGGGCTGTTACCAAGGAAACAGCCGCATGTTCATCTCCCATCCTGTCATTAGCAGAAGGACACTGCTGCGCAGTCCTGGGGCCTCTTCTCTCTAACACCAGTCTTACAACCTAGAAGGATGGGTGGACAAACTCAATTTGTACTTCAAATGGCAACCAGGAGGCACTCCCTTCAATGAAAAAAAATTTTTTTTTAATTTTCTGATATTCCCAATGAGCTGTTTCATTTGAATCTCAAATCAAAGTCTTCAATCTAGCCTCTTTGTAGTATCCAGACCTCTATTTCCAAGTGCTGATTAGATTCATGCACCTGGAAATAACACATGTACCTCCCTGTCAGCATTTTCGGTGCCATACTCATCTTCCTTCACTTACTCATCCTCTCTGTGCCCTGCTTGTCCTTTCTCAAATATTCCTCCCCTTTGCTTGGCTCTCATAACATGCAGCCATCTCTCCATTAACCTCGCAGGGGCTACACTTAGTGTGGTACTGCTTTCTCTCTTCTGCCTCCAAAGACCTATCTGGATTTAAGGCTTGTGCAAACAATGTCTCCACTGCTCCTCCTCCATTCCTTCTCCACTGCTAATGCCCAGCTAGACTGAGGCAAGCTCCCACTAACTTGACTTACTGGACCCTATCTTCACTCCTTTTGGTCCACCCCCATCATGGCTACTGGTAGATTGTTATAAGACAAACTGAACTGAACATGGAACACTCTAGAATAAAAGTCTCCAAGCCAAGTACGGTGGCACACTCCTGGAGCAGCTGTGGAGGCTGGGACAGGAGGATTGCAAGTTCAAAGCCAGTCTTGGCAATAGCAAGGTGCTAAGGAACTCAGTGAGACTCTGTCTCTAAATAAAATACAAAAAGGGGCTGGAGATGTGGCTCAGTGGTTGAGTGCCCCTGAGTTCAATCCGAGAACCCCTACTCACAAAAAAAATGTCTCCAGTGTCTCCCATCACCTAAAACTCAAACACATCAGATGGCATCTGGGCCTATGCCAATATTCCCTCCCGCTTTCCTTCTGGTTTGATTTCCCATCCTTTTCCCCCACAGCACTATATACCTTTGTTACCTGTTACCTTGTTGCCAGCAAGTCAGCCAAATGCCCTCTCTAACCATGTTCATTAGCAAAAGTCTAAAGAACAGAGGTTGCTAATAAATGATAACTGTTTTCAAGATCTGTCAGCCAAGGTCACCAAGACAAGTAAATTTGACCATGAACCAGATGATTGGTTTGGGAAAGGAAGCTAAAAGAAAGCAGAGCTCCACCTAGCAGCTTTCTGTAAAGGCTCCCAAGAATCCTTTCTGTATCAGTTACCAAAAAAGGTAGCTCTGTGGCTCAGGACAGGATAGCAATGAAAGACTCAGCATAGGACAAATCATAGCATGGGAACATGGAGACACTGCCTGGGAACAATAGGGGTAAGGAGTTTACAGATGAATACTTCCTGCTCTTGGCATTCAGAATTTCTTTAGCATTGTGGAGACAAGAATCCCAGGACAGCCCAGCCCAGATCCTAGTGGATAGAAACAGGATGATGGGGAAGGGCATAAACCAGGAGGCTGGGATCATCATGGGCAAAGGCAGGGAAGAGAGGAGGCCTGAGAGTAGGTGGATGCACTCACTGGTCAACAGGGTTGGAGCAGGCATGGGGGACTGAGCCAGAGCCAGGCTGGAGAAACTGCTTCACCCCACTGACTCTGTTCACCATCTGATTTCTAAATCTAGACAAGGAACCATAATCTCTTCAAGCTATTTACAGTGGATGAGTTTTTCTGCTTGGAAACATCTGTCTGCTATCTCCTGAGTTTCAACATCCTCAGCGAAAAGTGATGATAAGAGAAAGAAGTAAAAAGAAAAAAGTTGACAAGGAAAAAAGTCTCTTGCTAACCCCCTGGCTGCCTCTCTCACACCCAGAGGAAACTGCAGCTTCTCATGTTGTCCAGAAAAGCTCCAGAAGTAAAGGAAAACCCCTGGCAAGGGTACACTCACCTGCCCAGGACCCTTGAGGTATTGTACAGCCTGCTTGTGGGTGAGGCCACACAGGCTTACTCCATCCACCTGCAGGAGTCGGTCACCTGGGAAAGGGACACATGTCATGTCCTGGACCTCTGGGGATGCAGAAAGGACCCTTCCGCAAGGCCCCTGCCCTGAATCCTCTATGCAGCTTCAAGAAGTGGGACAGCACAGAGCTGCCATGGAGTCAGCATGAATCCTGCCTCGGCCTGAGAATCAGCCGCCTCTCTGAATACCTCACCCCTCCTTCTGAGGGATGTAACAGATCAATGATATGAAAGCCTTTCTATTATTGGCTCACAGGATGTTTAAGCCAGCTCTGTTCAACCTTAACCTTTCTCCTGTTTTCCTGTGAAACCATTTTTGAAAGTATTTTAAAGTTACTCAGGGATAATATTTATATCCCCAGAAACTTTTTTTTTTTTTTTTTAGTTTTCAGAAAAGTCAGGGAGACATGGTCAATGTTGGAGACACTGAAATTCAAGGGGAGATGGAGATAAGTAAGATCTTAAATGCCTTTTTATCTCAACTCTGGCAGATTGGAAACATAATAAAAACAACTCCCTTCCTTCAGAGCAATGAGACCTGAGGCAGGGCAGAGAGAAGACTCACTAAGTACCCCCAAGTATTAAAGTGTCTTAGGAGGGATGCAAATGCCCACACTGTCTTCACAGTCTTCACATGACTCCTGCTCTGGAAATTCCTGCAGACCAGGAGAGAATATTCACTGTTTTCCCATACTAAAGTGGAGTCACCAATGATAGCTCTGTTCTCTCAGAGAAGTGGTACTCTCTCCTGTGAAGGCCAGCAATGAGTCTTTTAAATCTCCTATTTTATATCACCTCATGCTTCCCAATGTGTCACTACAAACATTAACCCCCTCCCCACCCGCTGCTAGCCTATCACTTGGGGTAAGGAAAGTGAAATCCTCTCCTTTGCAGGTAAGAAAATTGAACCCTAGAGAGACAATGGTCTGCAGGAATTTCCAGAGCAGGAGTGGGGTGAGCCTGAGGCTGACCCTCCCTGGCCCAGACCACAGAGCTCCCAGCACGACTCCATCCCTCACCCTGAAGGATCTGTCCTTCCTTGGCAGCTGGACCTCCAGGAATAATGGATTTCACGTAGATTCCTCCATAGAGCACACTTGTGTTAATACCACCCTGAAAAACAAGGAAGAACTCATCCCCTATCTGCCCCTCTTGGGGGTCCTCCCCTATCTCCCTAATGAAGGAAGCCCCTTTGTGCCCCACCATCTATCATTGCCTCATCTCCTTTCAATGTTCTCTTCTATATTCACCCATGTAGCCTATATTCTCCACTGAGCAATAAGGTCAGGTGTTTGCCTGGAATAGAACAATAAGAGCAGAGTGAGGAAGCCAACCTCAGCCCAGCTCAGCATCCACACATGGGAGGTGCTTCGCAACTAGTCATGTGGATACACAGTATCTCTTCAGGTAATAACCAACATAGGTGGATTTGCCTGCAGATTTATGTCTGGCACATCCTGTGTGGTTGTGTGTTTGTAGATATAAATATAGAATGAAACTACTCCATATTCTGTAACTTTTTTAAACAATAAATTATGAACATTCTATAGGTCCAATTATCAAGATCTCTTACTTTCCCTTCTGATTTACTTAATGCTTGCAGACATATGAGACAGAATTTTTGTCAATGAGATTGTATATTTTCTTAGTTTTTTAGTGCCTCCCAACCCCACTACAGAAAACATACTAATAGCTGGCAATAACTGGGAATATTTCTATATATCCTTCTGTACTTTTCTTTGTGTTCATATAATCATATAGAAAAGATTAAAGAAAAGTCTGACTAAGCTTCAAGATGGACACCTGAGCCTGTCAGCTAAACGACCCTGCTTGGACTGAATTGTCACCCAGTGTGGCACTGTTGGAAGATGGTTGAAACTTTGAAAGGTGGGCCGAATTAGAGGTCTTTAGGTTTGGACGAGTATGTCCTCAGAGGGGATTGTAAAATTCTATTGTTTTCTTCTCTCTTTCACTTCCCAGCCATGAGTTAAGAGGTTTTGCTCCACTATGTGCTAGCCCAAAAGAAAAGGGAAAATCGGTCATGGATTGAAATCTTTAAAACTGTGAGCTAAAACAAACCATTTCTTTTTGTTAGTTGATTATCTCAGGTATTTACTATAGTAACAGAAAGCTGCCCAACTCTAAGATCTGGTGGAATTTAATTGAAATTAAGTCAAGACTCCTTTGAAATTAGGCTTCCAACATTGCTCATGCAAAATCTTAAGGCAACCAACTAGCAAGAAGGAGCTGAGTGGGATCTTAATTAGAATAAGATGCACTCCATGTTTCTATAAATATGTCAAAGTAGTAGTAGTAGACTCTACTGTCATATATAACTAAAAAGAACCAATTTTTTAAAATGTAGGAATGAAGGGACTCCCAACCCACCTTATGAGCCAGCCACAGTCTCTCCCAATCTCACCTCGCTTGGTGGACTTCTGCCTTTTTTTCCCCTCTATAGAGCCCCTTCAGTTCCTTTAGAAAGACTTACTGAACTTGCATGAGGGTGATGAAGTTCTCTCTTCCTAGTCAAACAGTGACTTCTGCTTCATTTCAGACTACTATTTGGTGGCCTTAGTTTCTTACTAATAAATATAGACAAATGTACACTCATCTAGGTTACATATTACACAAAAAGGGAGCTCATATGAAACATTTCTCTACATCTTGACTTCTTGCTGAATAGGGACCTTATGGAAGTCTTCCCATGTAGCTGGAGCTAGCACTGATTCATTTATTTTAAGCACAGGCAGCCTTTCCTCAATTGATCTCTAGTCATTTTTCCCCAGAGTTTTTGTCAGCGTAAGCAATACTGTATTCAACATCTTCACGTATACGGTCTTACTTAGTGGAATTCTGATTTCTATTTCTATGGGCTCAAGGATATGTGCATTTTTCATTACAGAGATGCTGCCAGATTGCATCCCAATGTGAATGTGCATATAATTATCCATATTCTACCAGCTTTGTAAGACAGTCCCCTTTTTCTACATCCCATCAGCTATATTTAGACAAGTTGAAAGTTGCAAAGTTTCATTTTAATTTAATTTATATTCCTGTGACTTCTCATGGATTTGACTGTTTTTCATTTGTTTAATGGCTCTTCAGATTTGAATGAGACATTTCAATAATTATTTTTGCAATTAAGTTTCTCCAAAGAAAATCAAACTTTCTTCATCAGCCAAAAGAAATCACCAACCTCTTCTTAGTATTGATGTGTGTGTGTGTGTGTGTGTGTGTGTAGATGAATAATCTATAATTTAGCAAGTTTTTCAGATGTGAAATAGCTATGTTTTGTGTCTGATAAAAGTACTACCCCAAACCAAGAATAAATTGACCATATTTGGTAGCAGCCTGCTCACTCCCTATGAATTCATGAGCCTTATTTCTTGATGTTTTACTTGTTTCCTTAAAATTATCTACTGACAAGTTTCTTGCAGGTTGATGGTTCAGCAATCCAGGGATCTTGGGTGTTCAGAATTACCATGTAGGAAAGTAAAGAATGCCTACTCTATTCACCTATCTTTTGGTTTCTTTTGGAATATGACATTTCTTTACCTGCTGGAAAATCTCATTCCATATTCAGTCAACAATTAAAATCAACAATGGCATTGCTCAAATCCAGACCCATTCCAAGGTCTACAGGTAATGAGACCAAGGTAAATAACTCAAGGTAATGAGTTATTTTCAGTGCTCAGTAACAATAGCAGTACCTTCCGATCCCTGACCTGTGAGTTTTTTTCACCTTTGTGTGCACTATTCCCAGTCCCTTGGGTGATCAAAATTATGGGTCATCTCCTATAAGGTTCTGCTAGAGCTCAGAAGTCAAATGCAAAATGTCAGTCTGGCCCTTGGAGGATGGAGATCAAGGCTTTACTGTGATCCTGCTCAGGATGTCTGTGGATTTCACCACTCACCATTGGCCTGTATCACTCACCATTGGCATATGGGAAGTAGATGAACCAAGCCCCACCAAGGCTCCATAGGGAGCCCTTTTTAACTGTACTCCAAACCCTCCTAACATCTCTTACAGTCACGCTGAATCCAAGTGTTCCATCTTCTTTAACCAGCTCCACAAAGTAGATTCTATCAGTATTGGTTTCTGAAGGTGATGGAGGACAAGAAGAGCCCTGTCCCAAACAAAGAAACAGAAGAAAACAAGGCATGAGGCACCTGCTGTGTCTATGCAGAAGGTTCCTCTTATCTATCACCAGTTGCCAGGAATAGGCAGCATCATATCCAGAAAGAGCATGAGCTTCCAGCCTGGAAACAGGGACTCATCTACAGCACTCTCAGTTCCTCCCCATGTGACTTTAGCCAAGTCTCTCAGATTCTCCAGCTTCCATTTCCCATTCCATAGAACTACTGGTGACAAGGACTTAAAAATCAGCATACTTCAATGGCATTGCCACATCAATGTTTCTAGCAGCTCAATTTACAATAGCTAAACTATGGAAACAACCTAGATGCCCTTCGACAGATGATTAGATAAAGAAAATGTGGTACATACACACAATGGAATTCTCTCAGCCATACATAAGAATAAAATTATGGCATTTGCAGATAAATGGATGGAACTAGAGAATATCATGCTAAGTGAAGTAAGCCAATCCCCAAAAAACCAAAAGCCAAATGTTTTCTCTGATAAGCAAATGCTGATCCATAGCGGGGTGGGGAGATAGGGAAGAATGAAGGAACTTTCCTTTGTGTAGAAGGGAGTGAGGAGAGGGGTGGGGCTGTGGGAAACATAGTAGAATAAGACAGACATGATTACCCTGTATACATGCATGATTACATCCCTGGAGTGACTCTGCACCATATACAGCCAGAGGAATGAGAAGTTGTGCTCCATTTGTGTACAATGTGTCAAAATGTATTCTACTGCAAAATTAATTAATTAATTAAAATTAATTAATTAATTAATTAAAAAGGATAAATACAATCAGCTTAAAAAATAATAGTTGGGTGAGATCACCTCCTATAACTGACTACAAATATGTGCAATACATGGCAAGGACTCAATAAATGTAAGCTCCTTCCTGTTTCCCCTCATTGTACAATACCTGCTAGAACTGAAGGTATCGAGGCACTTTTTGAAAGCTTCACTCATGATACCAGCCAAGCCTCACATATGATACCAATGACCTCACGAGGAGGTCATTTAACCATTCCTAGCAATAGTGGCCATGTTGGATTCTCAGTAGACCATAGCTGAATGCTTCAGGAAAGAGAAAAATGATTGTTCCATATAGGAGGCATTTTGCTTGGTATGTTACAATAACTCTGTAAGACTTGTTCATTCATCCAATCATGCAACAAGATTTACTGAACACCTATTTTATCCCAAAATTCTATGGTTTAAATGTCCTCTCCAAAACTCCTGAAATGTTTTTTTTTAATATATTCTTACTTGTAGATGGACACAATACCTTTATTTTATTTATTTATTTTTATGTGGTGCCGAGAATTGAACCCAGTGCCTCATACAAGTTAGGCAAGTGCTCTATCACTGAGCCACAACCCCAGGCCCCAAACTCTTAAAATTTAATTGCCATTATAATATAGAAATACCTTAAGGGGTGATTAGGTCATAATGGCACAATCCTCATGGATAAATTATTGTGGGGGGTGAATAGTTATAAAAAGAGAAAATTTGTCTCCCTTTTTTCTCTCACTCTTTCTTCAGTACGTTCATATTTGCTGTCTCACCATGTGGTGCCTTCCCCCATATTGTGACTCAGCAAGAAGACCCTTACCAGATGCAGACCCTCAGTCTTGGGCTTTCCAGTCTCCAGAACCATGAACCAAATAAACTTGTATTGTTTATAATTTCCCTAGTCTGTGTTACTTTGATAAAGCAACAGGAAATGGACTAAGACACAGGTACTGCCTAAGTTTCTGGAGAGATGGCAGTTGTAAGCAAACCTGCTCAGAGAAACTAAGAAGAAGAAGCCGAGCACCAGGGACAGGAAACAGAGGAGGCTGTTACCACCCCTGAGCCTGGGGCAAGAGGAAAGTGGGTAATAGAACCTAGAGAGTCCTTCTGGGGCCCAGACTGCCTGATAGGAGCTGTGCTCATCAGTTGTAGTGACAGCAACCCTGTGTCAGCACAGGGAGAGTATCAAGCCTGTCCTAACCTGTTCCCCAACTGCAGGATCCTGCCAGGGCTGCTTGTGGGCAGAACCAACCGAAGAGAAAGATGACATGGTCTGTTCACATTAGTTGCAAGGGATCCAGAGCAGAAGGCAAAATGTGGGTCTGGAGAGGCCAAGGTGGACTTTCCCACCCAGTGTTCAAGTAGGCAGCCAGAGGATGGCTGAAACATGTCACTCATATGACAAAACCAGGCTTCAAGATCTTCCTCCATGCAATAAGATTTACTGAGCACCTATTTTATGGGATAGTGGTCAGGACCAAAGTCACTTTGCTGCGAGCTTGAAAGCCAATTAGAAGCCAAGATATTGAGATACCCATGTTTTTCCCTTGGCAGCAATCAATTTGCTCGTGTTGTTATTACCATGAGTAATGATAATTAGTAATTAGGGACACTCTAATGTCCAAAATGAACCTTGTCACCAGACACTGTGTCAGGAACTCAGCATAATTTTCAACATATACTCAGTGCAGGCATTTAGGATCAAAGGGGTTAAGTAACCTCCAACTAACTACCTGACATGGTACCTGGAGAGCACAGGACTCACGAGCTGGGCTAGACTCCACAATCTATTCTCTTTCCTCTAAATCTAGAAAAAGAAGCAAGGGGATGATCACCTTTAATGGCAGAGAGGAAAGCTGAGGCATTGAGCTCTGTAGCTGAGCCACTTTCAGCTCTCCAATAGTTCTGTCTTGGTCCTGTGTACGTGATGATAGACTTCCCTGGTTTCCCTGGTTGCTCAGGATGTTGGTAGAGAAGACCCCTTCACAGGGGTTATTTCCACAGACACCTATAAAAGCAAGCCAACAAGAAATCAGCAGCTTGAAAAGGCTGGCATCTCAGCATCATCTCTATATGGGGCACCCAGTTGTTCTTCAGTGACAGAAAGAACTTTAACAGTTGCAAGAAACCATGTGAATTTAGCACCTTATAAAGGATGTTGCATTTAGAACAGAGAAAGGGAAGATTCTGTATGTGATTCGGAAACCTATAAAAAGGTCACTTGTGTGACCCAACTATGAAAATATAGGCCCAAGGAAAGTGAATAATGACAACTTGCCTTTGTTAAGATCTTGTCACCAAATGGGGTGAGAGGGGAAAGAGAAGAGTCTGATCTTTCCATTCTCTCAACAAGCCACTGAGAAGATATCATCCCAGTTCAAACATGAGAAAAGAGAGTCAAAAGAAATAAGTAGCTTCCTCCCCAATCCCATGACTGATATGGGGAACTGCTCAGCCTCTCCCAAGACCCCACTGTGATCAGCATGTGATTCAAACATCATTTTGGGGGGGAATTTGGTAATAACCATACTGTGGGTTCCTGTGGGTAAAAACTAGAACACTCATTCCTGTTTATCCCAAGTCTAAACCTTGACCTGGCACAGAACAGAGAAAAGAACATGAGGCAGAGAATCAATTGTAAACCTTGGACAAGGCATTTACCACTTCTGGACCTCAATTTCCTTTTATCTAAAATGAAGATAAGCCAGGAGCAATGGTACATGCCTATAACCCCAGCAACTCTGGAGGCTAAGTCAGGAGGATCACAAGTTCAAAGCCAGCTTCAGCAACTTAGTGAGGCACTAAGCAACTTCACAAGACCCTGTCTTTAAATAAAAATATTTTTTAAAAGGCTGGGGATTATGGTTAAGCACCCCAGGGTTTAATCCCCAGTACCAAAAAAGTAAAATGAAACAAATTAAGTAAAATGGAGACAATACCAATAATGTTGGAAGGTTTTGATGTTAAGAGATTATATAAAGAGATTGCATATATATAGATATACTCTAATATACATGCATATATAGCATATATATATAAAAACAATCAATGTATTTAATGTTAACATTAACTACTCAACAAACATGCAGGAAGGCATAATGGTTTAAGTTTCTTTAGATCTCAATATATAAATATATGGATAGATTCACTAGTTTGATACAGACTCATTAACACCCAGGGAAATGCCCAAACTCCTATATTAAATGAACTTCATTTAATGAACATGGGCATGCATTGTGTGTTGCTAGAAGTTGAACCCAGGGCCTTGCACATGCTAGGCAAGCGCTAGGCCACTTGGCCACCCCCTCAGCCCCAGTGAACTTGGTTTTGAGTCATTCAAAGTAGGTAACGAGGCAGGACACCATTCCAAAATGCAAAATATTCCTGGACATTTCATTCCAGTCCCACTTGGCCACCCCCTCAGCCCCAGTGAACTTGGTTTTGAGTCATTCAGTAGGTAACGAGGCAGGACACCATTCCAAAATTCAAAATATTCCTGGACATTTCATTCATAATCCACTGTTGCATCCTTTTGGTAATATGGTGACCATCTGTTCATTTTCTTCCACACCCTCCATGAGAAATGAGAATGTGACTTATGACTGAACTGAAAAGCCAAGTTGTGCAACTTGGGTCCTCTCTGATAGAAATATGAGCTAGGAGCCCTTCTGTGGATAATTAAAACTCAACTTATTATGACCCTGATGGCTGCTCATGATGGGATGTTACCTATTGGCCAGTGATCTCCAATTTAAACTGGCTACCTCAACACATGTTCAATTAGATAAAAATTCATAGCAGTCAAGACTGTGCCCAGGGAGGTGCAGCCAGGGTCACTATGGAAACCTTTTCCTCCAGTGATAGTCCAGCTGTAGAAGGATCCCCAACTGTGTCAAATGGCCACGTTCTCAACAGGTGACTGAGGCCCAAGGGGAGAGTCTGTGTAACAGGGAAACCCATGTCTGGAATTCTAAGATGATGCAGACTTTGACACCCGCCCTATCACAACAGGCCATCTTTGGACTATACTGAATTGTGATTTGACTATCCACATTAAATTTTCTGACCAGAAAAGTGATGGATCAAATATCCCTTTCAGCAGAGAATCTAGAGGAAAATTCAAGGCTTGCTGACCTGCCTTAGGAAGAAGTATCAGTACACCAGCAGACAGTGAGCCTGAGACCAGCCTTATGCATGAGCTGAGGCTAGCCCCTGGGGCAGCTCCAGCCACAGGGAGAAAGCTGCACCACCAAGGCACCAGCATCACCACACCCCACCCCGCCACATCCCATTGCTTCTGGACTGGGCAGCTGCAATGCCTGGGAAAGCCATCTGCGATGATGGGCACATGTGTAAGAGTGAGAGAGTGTGCATGGTTTTCAGAGGGCCCAGCAAACGAGGTGCCTGCACGTAGGCCTAGACAATGCTGTCCAGTGTGATATGAATCATTTCTGTACATAGGGGGAAATTGTGCCATGCCCTGGGAGCATGAGGAAGCAAAAGATGAGCCTGAGTTTGTAAACAGTCCGTAACTTACAAAACGACCCAACCAGAAAAGCATCCATGGTCCTAGGAAACTAGGATGGGGAGGATGTTAGCCTCCCTGTTAGCTCCATCCAGCCCCTAAACCTGCCCCAAATAAATATTATCATATCATTCCTTGATCTAATCAGTTGCTCTCTCCTTCTTATCTAAAGGATGGAAAAAAATCTTTAAAAAACAAAAACTTGACTCTTTGGGTTGATCTGTCATACACCCACCAAGTGAGAACAGCATGCTGCTATGCAAATTCAGCTTCCAGATCAGTTGCAGTCTCCTTCCCAGCTGTTCAGGTGATTGATATAGCTAAGCCCAAACTATGCAGAATCCAGGAACAGCCACTTTCTATAAGGACTTGAGTGACAACAGTAATATCCTCCATGTCATGCAAGGAGAGTGGGCAGAAAAGCACATAGTGGGTGTATTCAGCCAGGCCTAATAAAGAGAGCAGGTTTCTCCCTTACAGCAAGATAAGCAATGGCAGAACCCACTCTGCCCCTGAAAGTGCAGAGCTTATTGATTTGTGCCACTACATGGCCTCTATGCAAGCCATTTCCACAAGGAAAGCAATACAAAATACCTACCTACTCAGAACTTACCAAGTTGCCCCTGGTAATAGTGATCACCTGAAAATAAAAGTCTCTTCAGCTTCTGGAAGTAGGTGAAGACATACCTTTTGATTGAGAAATGACTAATTCTATGTTGTCAGGAGAATTCTGAATCATTCTAACAGCCATGTTAAATGTGAAGCCCTCCAGGCTAATGTGATTCAAGGCTAATATCTGCCCTCCTGGAAAAAATAAAACATCTCAATAACCCATCAAGGAAATAAGAAAGGGTGATTCCTTAAAACAACATCTCTGGCAGTTAGTTTAGTAAGAAGATGTACCTGGTTTAATTGTTTTTGCTTTTTCTGCTGGTCCTCCAGGAATAATAGAAGATATAAAAATGCCAGGGTTAGATTGGCCTCTGTCTTCACCCTCATTAATGACAAAACCTATGATCCAAAATAGCATTTAATAAGATGATATTTAATGACTTCACAGCTCAGAGAGGTTAAGTTATTTGCTTGAGCTCACACAGCTACCAGGTGGCATAACTAATATTTGGATCTGGGTGCAATACACAGGGAAGAGTTATTCCCTTTAGCAATCACAACTAAAGCTAGAAATGCAGCCCACAGTATGTATTGGATTTTATTCCAGAATATAATCAGAGATAGGAAAGAGATGATTTTTAGTCAAGGACTCTGTTTCAGTATCTTGTTTTTAAAGGTCTTCAAATGTGATCAATGATGAGAGGAAAGACTGGCTATTCCTCCCTATCGCGAAGAATCCACTTATGCTAGAGAAATGTCGTTACATGGTATTAGGGGGAAATATTTTCCTACCTTGTGCTTAGACCCATCCCCAAAATGTATCAGGGCCTACAGGGAGATTTTTGATACAAAAGTCCCATTGTTCCTTAGGGATACTTCAAGGGAGGGAAAAGAAGAAGAGACTACCCAAAAAAGGCAAATTAGGAGAAGAGGGGAAAGAAAAGGGAGTAGAAAAGTCCAAAGGGAAAAACCACACACACAGCACTCTGGGCCAGACAGAAGAGAGTGGGTCTCACCTGGAGGGAGCCCTCTTACCAAAACCACGATGGCGATCACGCTTCAGGGTCACATGCACGATTTCTCGACCAGGTTCAGCACTGCCACTCTTTCTTCTATTATTCTGGAACCCTAGGAGTGCAATCAAAACACCATATTGTGCTTTTACCCCAAAATTATTTGGAACCCAATATAAAAGGAGAGAGCAATCTCTCTCTCTCTCTCTCTCTCTCTCTCTCTCTCTCTCTCTCTCTCACTCACACACACACACACACACACACACACACACACACACAGGCACACACTGAGAGCAAAGGTAGCTCACATTTAATTTCCTAGCAAAACTCAGAACCAGTCACTGAGGACTTTCTTTCAATGAGCCTCACTGGATCAATTTGGGTCAAATTTGGGCTGCAAGAGCACAGGCCAGGTAGACTGGGCTGTGGTGCCTCTTTCCCGTCTGACTTTTGATAGTTTTTGGTCTTGGGACAAGATGGAAGAGGACCAGGAATTTAATTGTTGGCAGTGATAACTAAAACTAAAACTATGCGTTAAAGGCTTGCTCATTAGCTTGTGGTGCTACTGGAAGGCGGGAGAATCTATAAAAGGTAGGTCCTAGCGGGTAGAGGTTAGGTCACTGGTGGTGTGCCCTTGAAGGGATTTGGGACCCTAGCTCCTTCTTCCCTCTCTTTCTTTGCTTCTTAGCCACCGTAAGGTGAATAGGCCTCTTCTACCCTGTCTTCTTGCCATGGGCCACCACAAGCTCAAAGCAACAGGGCCAAGCAACCATGAACTGAAACGTCTGAAACCATGAACCAAATAATTTTTTTTCTTTTTAACTTGGGTTATTTGTTACAGTAATGGAAAGCTGACTTACACAGGCTTCCAACAGTCAGAGGGCGACAGGAGCTACCAGCCCAGTCTGGGTACTTTAGAGTACTTTCCCAGTTTGGGCCTTAAAGGCAATCCAAAGTACAGCCCTACAGTTGCTCCCAGAGTTCTGGGATTAGATTCTCCAAATCTTATCACAATTCTCTTGGGAAAATTCCCCACTGGTGACCCACCACTGTCATCATTCCACATCTCTTCCTCCCTCTGGAAACATGATGGAAACTGGCAGACACTCAATTTAGAGAATTGCTTGGTGGTATTCCAGATCCAGCCCTCAGGCTTGGTGCTCATCAAATATAGATATTTTCCTTAGTTATGAAGTCTCTTTGTCTTTGCCTTCAACTGGGGGCTTGCCAGGAGGAAACTGCTATCTTCCCTGTACATGTTTTCTGGGGAACACTGAGTGATATGCTGGGCCTTGAAGAAGCAGCATAACTAAAATGGATGATGCATTTTTCTAAACATACCACTCCATAGTAGATACTCCCTCTGCTGAACCCAAGGGCTGGAAACCAATTCACCACAGCTAATGCATTACAGATCCACATACCCAGCCAAAGCCAAATGCTGATTGGGAGAGCTCTTCCCAACCATAAATAGATTTTGGCATAATTTTAAAAGTAAACAGTTTGCAAAATTTGGGAAACACACTGCAGTGGTGGCAGAAGGTCAAAATCAAACATTGTATGTAAGGTTTCCTTTACCAAAACCATGGCCTGGCCCATACCTGTGTTCACAGTCTGAAAAGGCAGCCCAGAAAGTGGGCCACGGGTCATTGGCTTTTGGATCAAACAGGTGCTGTTCAGCTGCTCCTGGCCAGGGCAGGGGCTGCAGGGAAAGGTGACAATGTAAGTAAGATAAGGCAACTTCTTAGGCAGTTCTAATATGGACAGTGATCTGGAGAAGGCTGACTTTTGCCTGACCATCCAGCAGTTCCAGACACATTCTCCAAAGAGGAAGGAATGTTATCAAATCTGATTATCAAGGCTACACCAAAAGAATGGTGGTAGAGTCTTTCTGTCCCAAAGAGTTAACTGCAGTCACCTGGATCTCACATGAACGTCCCACTATCCACCTTTGGGTTGGATATGCAGCTGTTAAAGGCCTCCATTTCTTCAACCATAAAATAGGGGTAATCTTCTATTTCCCAGGTTTGTGATGGCACCAAAACCATATAGTAGTATAAGGCATGACACTCGATGGGTCCTGATGTTCTATTGTTGGCTTTTTCTTTTAGCTGAAGGCTCTTAGTGGGGCCAGTCACGCTCTAGTACCCCACATAGGCTGTGCCTCCCTGAGGACTACACAAATTGGTGTAACTTCTTGATCTTTTCAGGTGTTTGAGATGGATGCTCCACTCCCAATCGCACTTATTGAGATCAGAAAACTTTTGTGCACGTTTTCAGTGGCCTTAGCTGAATGTGCAGTGCAATGGTTTAAATGTGGTTTGTGCCCTAGGAGTGCATGTGCTGGATGCTTGGTCTTCAGTATGATGCTGGGAGTTAGTGGAATATTTATGAGGTGGAGTCTAATGGGAGTTGCTTAAGTTAATGAGACACTGACCTCAGAAGAGATTAAGTAGTTCTTGGAGACTGGGTTGGTATAAAAGAGCAAGACTGGCCACTCCCCTCTCTCTGGGTTCTTGTCCCACCCTCAGGTCTCCCTCTTACATGCACTCCCACCATGATGCCATCTGCCATGAGACAGTGCAGTCAGCAGGGGGTCTAACCAGAGCCAGTGCCATGCTGTTTGGACTTTCACCCTTCAAAACTGAGCTGATTAAACTTCTGTTTTTAATTAGGTACCCAGCCTGCATTATTTTGTTACAACAACCAAAAATAGACAATATACACGAAATTCTAGTAAGCGAAGCATGTTCTAAGCACTAGGAGCATGCTTGAATCAAGGGGACCCTGCCCTATCCCCAAGTTAAGCTCTCCAAAGAGATAAGCTATATTCAGAGATAAGCAGAGTAGAGAGCAAGAGGAATAGACACAAAGCTACGGGTGCCTAGGGCCTTGCAAAAAAGTTAGTATTGGGTCTCCAGGATGGACAAGCACATGAGCAGACTGTCCCCAACACCAGAGAGGCCACACCACAGCTTAGGCAGTTGGACCATAGCAAGGGATGCTGCCTTGATTGGCAGTATTCACAGGAAGAACAGGATTGACAGAGGAGAGGAACGTAGTAGAGAGGAAAGGGCAGCACAGTCAGCTCTTGGTAAGGTCGGAATGAGCCTCATTCTGTCTTTGCTCTTATGTTGTGCATTGTAGCAAATTCAACCCAAATTGATTGAGAACACACTGAGGATCATGCCTGGGCTGGTAAGGCATGCAGGGTCTAGATGACTTCCAAGTCTACCAAGTGCCCTAGGGAGAGGTGTTAGCAGAGTGCTCATTTGTTCAAAGGAAGGAGAAATCCCAGCCGTCTGGGAGCAGCTGATAAGGATATGAGAATGAAATGGCCTTTGAGGGTGGCCTTTGAGGAAAAGAAAGGGCTTATGTGCCCCCAGGTTTCTATAGCTCTCGTGATCTGGGCCCACATGCTGCCCTCCACTTTAAAAGTCATTTACTGCCAGCCACAAAGGGACAGATATTATACAAGCCTGTTTGGTTTATAAGGTACTTAGAGTAACCAAAATCAGACAGAAAGCAGAGTGCTGGTTGCCCCGGACTTGGGCAAGCCAGGAATGGGGAGTCAGTGTTGGATGGGGACAGAGTTTCAGTTTGGGAAGATGAAGATCTGGTGGATGACGGGTGGTGATGATTGTACAGCAATGTGAATGAACTGAGTGTCATTGCAAACTGTGACTTTAAAAAGTGGTCATGATGATATCTTTTATGGTTTGTCTATTTTTACCACAAATAAAGGTTTTTTTTTTTTAATGTAAACCTTTAAAAAAAAATTTACTGAAAGCCTTCACATTCTGACCTTAGAGCTCAGACTGCACTTGATATGTCACTGTTCTTGAGTTTGAGTGATTGACGGGGAGATGGATGAAAGCATGTGAATGTCGGGGTGAAAGGGAAAAGGGGGGTTTCCATAAATGGACCCAGTGGTGTGCAGGTACCATCCCTATGCAAGGGAAGTTGGGAAGGCTTTGGAGAAGCAGTGACAGGCAATAGGTGGCCGAAAGCTCGGCACCTGGCCCAGGGCTGGCACAACCAAAATGAATGAATATTTCCCCACGGTGTTTCTCCCTTCTCTCTCACCCAGCCCAAATTCTACTCGTCAAACAAGACTTAATGTCACCTTTCCCATGCAAACCTCCCCAGTCCTCACCTGCAAGGGAGCCACAATGCTACCTATGCCTGCCTTGAATGTTTAATCCATTCTGTCCTCATGTGCTTCTATCATGTCCCATAGAGACCACGGAAAGGATACCAGCATTGGGACCCTCGCTGTGGACTCAGCCCGCGTTCAACATTAATAACAGTTTAATTACTGCAGCCACCCTGTGGGCACGGCTTTACTGTTCGTACCACTGGATGAATGGCACGGGCATGTTAAATAACTTTCTCAGGATCACAGAGAACTAGACAGCTGGACAGGCATTGGTCACCAACTCTCTTAAGGCTGGGATGGATCCACAGTGTGTTCTGAAGGGAACCTCCAGCTGAGTCATCTTTGCGGTAAGCAGAAATACTAAGCATCTCCTCCAGTCACCAAGATTGACAGTGACCCATGGCCACAGTCACAGCACTTGGCCCACCTCAGACTTTGACCATAGCTGTGATGGATGGAAGGCCCATGAGTGGTCAGGCTCAGTTCGTGCTGACAAAATCCTACCTCAGATGCAGTTCTCTTTCTGCCCTTGAACTTCTTACACATCTTGGGAGCTTTCTCTTCATCCTCCCACTCCCTCTTTACCCAAAAGTATGGGGTCCCACAGATGACCTTCAACCAGAGAGGAATGGGGGCAGGCACACAGGCATCCACCCTTCTGTTTTTTGGCAATTCAGGGAGACCTTCAGTACACTTTGCTGAGGAACTGAGCCTTGGTTGCCCTCAACGTTACTTTGATGACCCCATCCTGTACAGGCTTTTCTTCCTTCCCTAGCTCACGCTTCTGCTCACACTTGGCCTCACATCTATAAAAACCCACCTGCACCAAGTCATGGGCTTAGGTTGTGCTTCTTTGGGATCTTCCAGATGGCCTAGGACTTAAATGCAAGTCTTTGGTTTCCCTTTTCCCCTTCAGATTACTAGTGAGTTATTAAGAGTGAAGAATTTTTTGCATTTATAAACTGACAGATACAAACATACATTACAGCAGTATCTAGAGTTTACTAAGGACTCCAATACAGCTTCCTACTGGAAAAGCCAACTGCCACATGATGCTGCAAAACCCTACCATGAGGGATGATTGACAGGTCACTGGAAGCACCAGCATCCCCAGGAAGCTTACTTTGCTGTTAACACATTGTTCAATGTGGCTGCTAGGTTGGGAAAAGCACTTTCCAAAGTTCCACATATTAAAGGTGTTACCCATGGCACTATTAGGAAGTAGGGAAACATTTAAGAGGTAGATCCTGGTGGAAGATCCTTAGATCATTGTGCCTTAAAGGGAAATATAGAGACTTGAGCTCTTTCAACTTCCTCTTTCCTTCTGAGCCACCATGAGGAGAGTAGATTCCTCCAGCATGTAGTCCTACCATGATGTGCTACCTTGCCACAGGCCTGAAGACAATGAGGCCAACTAATCATGTACTGAAAACTTACTGTGAGTCAAAAGAAACTTTCCTCTCTTAAAGCTGATTGTCTCAGGGATTTTGTTGCAGTGACAGAAAACTAACAATGGCCTTGAGCCAATCATGGCTGCTTCTACCTTTTAAAAAATGAAATGCTATAAAATTAGTCTGAGTGACAGATGAAAAACATGGCCACAAACCCTTTGACATCAAGAGGTAGAGTTTATTTCTGTTCTCTTCGAATCTATTCTGACCTAGGACTAGTTTAACCAAGAGTATGGTGGAAAAGATGCCATGTTAACTCCAGGCTAGAGTTAATAAAGAATGGCAACCTCTCCCTGGGCTCTTGAAGCCCTGAGCTGCCATGTAGAATCTTGCTGGAGACACCACATGGAGAAGGCTTGAGACTGCATAAGAAGGGAGAGGGACCCAGTTAGCAATGTATCCCAGCCACTCACACCAAGAGCTGTGCACGTGCACTTCCTTGCATGCATCTTGGACCCCCTAGACCAGTCCAGTCATGATCCTGGTCAATACCACAAGAAGCAGAAGAATTCTCCAATACAGCTCTGCCTGATTTTCTAACCTAGAAAATTATGAAATGGGATAACAAAATGGTGATTGTTTTATACCACTGCATTTTGAGGTGGTTTGTTACACAGCAATAGATACACAGAACAGTTTTTGCTTCCCCATTATTGATTATGTTTGCAGTGCACATTTGCATCTATAGAATTTGGGCAATAATTTTCTAAGAATTACTTCAAGATGTATACATATATACATGAATTTCAGTTCAAATGAATCATCCATACACTCATGCTGAAGCAGATGTATAACTCATCCCCCAAAACAGCTCCTACAGCAATCCTCGTTAGTCGTGTGCTGCCTGGGAATCTGGGCTATTTATATAACTTGTAATGTAAGTGTCATCCAAGTCCTAGGCTATTTTTAAATGTATGGATCATTGTTTTATAATGGAAAGTTACATGTATCAGCTCATTGTTTTCACATAAAAATTTAAATGTCATCAATGGGGAAGGTAGAATAGTGTCAAAATCAGAAATATGCTCTCTGGGTCCAGCGGTATTTGTTTGAGTGCTAGCCCCTCTGTTTCCCCTCCTGTAAATGAGAAGGATGATAAAAATATTCCACATGGTTCTACAGGTTAAATTAGTTGATATGTACAAGTTCCTAGAACACTACCTAGCTTATGATAAGGCCAAAATTACTGTAGTTTTTTTTTTTTTTTTAATTCTGTCCTCTTTCTCTACCAAAAGGTATGAGCATCATGGTAGGGGAGTAAAATTTTATCCTAGAGTATTTAGCTCAGACTAAGCCATAAGAAAACCATAACCCCACAACTAAGCCAAGGAATTAATTGACAGTGAATATATACTTTTCCTTAGGCATCTATCATTCTTTAAACAACTGGCTTTAGGTGTAGATGGCTCCAGCACACCAATACCTGGTAGTTTGGGCTCAGAGGACAGAGGAAACCCACCTGTCTCTGATTCCTTCTGGGCCAGTCTCCTTATTGGTTTCCAAGTTGAAGTTCTCCAGTGACGCACTCAGCAGGCCGCCTATGGTGTCCTGCAACCTCGGTAGGAACAACTGATTTTCTGAGCATGACAATCTCTGAATCCATGTAAGAGGCTTGGACTGGGCCTGCTGTGCAGGGCTTGAATTTGCCATTTGCACAAACTTATCCCGATCTGAATAGGAGGAGAAAAAGATAAATATACTTTACACTCAAGATGATGCTGGTCCCATTGCTCTTGGAGTGGCAAAACACTCCCAGGCTCAAGCTCTTCTCTCCCAGTTCTTTTTCTGCACTGAGAGGCCTGCTATTTTGCTTCATGCTAACTCAGGGAATCCTTGTGATTAGGCTTGGGACTGCAAGTCCTCTAATTAGCACTTGCTAATGAAGGACATTTTAGAAACGTAAGAAAGAAAAGACCAGAGGCTCCCTCCCTGGTAGCTGAAAGAACTGGGAGCCAAAGAGCCTGTTCTGATGGGTGCTCACCCAAAGCATTCCTGGGAATGTCAGGCTCCAGCAGGGCCTCAGATAAAATTAGCTTCTAGCACCCAGTTCTGCTTTCCGCCTTTGCAGATCTGTCCTCACAGTCGTTCTCATAACAAATGGGACTTTGAATCATCCAGGCTCCCAAAATTAGGCTTTGCCCTGTGGCACACAATCTTTAATCTCAACACAGCTTAGTTTTCCCTGGTAATAATATTTCATGTAAGATCCTGTTTCCTGGAATATAAGTAACACCAACATAGCACCAACGTGTTGGACTCCTAGCTTTGTTGCTTCCCTTCCTTCCTTTGTGCAGAAAGGATTAATAGGTGACTCTGGTCAAGTCCCAGGTGTAAGAGACTTCACTATTTATATTGTTCACAAAAAAAAAAAATGGGGATTTGATCAATAATAGTCTTTTAAATTAATGAGGCTTTATCCAAAGTGAATTTGTATTTTGAGAAAGAAAAATGATGACCATCTCCAGACTATCTGCTCACTGCTAAAACCTGGAAGGAAGGCCAGTGCACACGTTGCTTTGTTGTGGGCACCACTTTTTCTTGTATGTGTGTATGTCTCAGAATGTGTGCATATGGTAAGTGTGCTGTGTGGTGCCAGTATGTGTGTGTACGTTAAATGTGTGTTTGTGGTATCTATGTATGTGAGTGAATGGTCAGCGTATATATGGGGGTGTCTGTGTGTGTATGGTGCGTGTGTGTGTGTTTGTGTGTGTGTGTGTGTGTGTGTGTGGTGAATGTGTGGGGGAGGTGTCTTTGAATGTACGTCTCCACACTGGAGTATGGGAGAACCTGACACAAAGACCAAAACAGCAGCACAAGAGATTCACCCGAGGCTTGCCCAGGCTTCTGATCACCAGAGCCAGAAGGGACAGTGACATTGGGCTTAATTTTCGTAGATATTAACGCCCATTAATTAAAGGATACTTTAGGAAGAGACACTAGATTCAGGGCCTCAGCTCATAGAGGTTTGGCTGGTTTGAAGCAAGACTGTGGAGGGATTGGGGCTACAGAAAGGAGCTGTCCCTTAGGGAAGAGACTCATAGAAGGGGAGCAGAGAGGTGAGAGTCCCAAGTGCCTGGGATCCAGGAAGAGCTTGTTCCCTTCCAGAAGCTGGAGGGGAAGTCAGGAGGCTGAGGAGGGAGCTCAGTGAACAGATGAACGGCCCACAGTGAGGTCAGGAAATGACATCACAGATGCGAAATATTCAGCATCACAGACTCAGACCGAGGCTGTGGGCCTGGTGACTGGTGCCGTGTGCTGGCTTCATCCTTAGGCCTTGGCCTCATGAGGTTCGACTGGGTAGACTACAGTGCAGGAGGGATGTGTCAGTAGGTCAGAGATCCAAGAGTTGATGCTCTTTCAGGAACAGAAGGAAGGATTGCCAATAATGTCCCAAAGCCACTGGCACACTGAGGAGAATGAACAGCTTCTGTTCCCTGATCATGGGCGACTCACAGCATAACTGTGGCATCTGGGAAATATCTGACAAATGTCTGAATCCGTCTGGACATCAAGGGCTGAAGACCAAGTTAGCTGGAGTTCCAAGCACACAGGAGATACCCACAAAGAAAAGGAAACTGGGATGAGATCCCAAGCAGCCCACTGCAAATTTGCAGTCTTGCAGCCACAGTTTCCTGGAAGGACCAGGAGTATCCTGAAGCACTGGACCACCCAGGAGAAAGGCCATGGGGCCACTCTGCAGTGCTGAAATACTTGTCCTGAAATACCCACTTGTAAAAGCTCAGTGATTATTTCTCCCCAGGGAACCAAAAATAACTATAAAGTAATATGCTTGTTGAGACAATTCACAGAAGAAACATTTGGTAAGTGTTCAGCTTCTCAACAATAAAAGAAATACAAGATAAAGCAACAGTGAAAAATCGTTTTTACCTGTCAAATGAACAAAAATAAACACGATGACAACTATTCCAGCAAGAATGCAATGAAACAGGCAGGATGACAAGAAGGCAAAACACTCAGGAAAACAGCCATGGTTTTTAAAATGCCCTGGCTCTTGTACCCAAATACATTTTTGAGAAATAAGAAAATCAAGAAAAGAATTTTCTCCAATGATGTTTATCACAATATTATTAGTAGTATTGAAAAATGAAAAGCAAACTAAGCATGAAAAGAAGGAGATGATTAAGGAACAGTATTTCCATACAAATAGTATTTCCATTCATCCATCCATTCAAACATGTATTAACCACTTGCCATTTTGACATACCTCTCTCTTCCATAACAGAGCCAGAAAGACTGCAGGAATCTGCCTTCAAGGAATTCCCAGTCTACCACAGATTAGAGGCATACAGGCACAAATAAGAGTGAAAAAACAAAGAGATCTGCATAAAGAAGGAGCACTCTACTCCACTCCACCTGAGAAGGAGTCGACTGGGGGCAGCCAAAAAAGGAAAGTCTGTTCAAGGGGGAGGCTGTCCTTCAATATGTTCATGGAATATCAGGCTTAAATTTTGATGGTGTGAGCCATAAAGAGGTTAGGAACAGCATCAATGGTAGAGGCCACTGGCACCAAGACCCTGGAACCCGAGATACGCTGGTGTGTTCCACAGCCAGCAAGGAAGTAGGCAGCATAGCCAGAGAGGAGAGGGGAGGTAACCAGACAGGAAACAAGTCAGGGTTGGGGCAAGAGTTGGGAGAATCCAACAGGTTATCCTAAGGAGGTTAGGTACAAACAGCAGAGTGTCATTGACAGTTTTCAGCATGGAAGAACATGATTGGATGGGTCCTTTGGAATGATCACTTTGAAAATTACTTTGGACAGTGGCAGGGGATATAAATCTCAGCAGGAAGCTCATCTGAGAGCATTTGGTGGCATGTGGGGCAGGAAGAGAAGGTCCAGGTCCAGACCCCCAGTTCCTGCTGGGTGAATGGGTGGTCCCCTTTGAACAAGGCAAAGGTCACTGCAGAACTCCTGGAGTTACACAGAAGGAAGAGATCAGCTGGAGACGCAGAGTTTGAGGACAGATGGAGATGTCCAGCTCTTTGCTGCATGCAATCATTGAAAATGGTGTCCATGGAGAGTTTCTCAAATGAAGTTTTTAAAAGGCAAGGAGAATTGTCAAAATGAATCCTTTTAGTGTAAATGTGTGTTAGATTTCTGAAAACTCTTAAGGTGGTAGAATTTGCAGTTTGAGAAAACAGTTTATTATGAGCAAAATAGGCCTAGAAGGACTAATTTCACAAGTAAGTTCATGAAGTCTTTATAAATATTTTATGGTCACTGAAATCAAGCAATAAAAGCAATATTGATGGTGTTTCACACACGGTATCTCAGCAATACCAGGTAAATCAGATATAATTAATTTGCATTTATCATCTCTAGCTCCCTGGAAATAACCTGGGACCAACAGCCTGCAGTTCCAATGAAATGTTTATATCTTCATTTGGCTCTGCTGCAAATAATATGCTACCTTTATTTTCTGTGTTTGCATCTTCATCTCTAAGCTTGGCAATTTTGTTTCCCATTATTAACCTAACTCCTGGGCCAGTCCCTAGAACTTGTGACACAGCTCTTACATGCATTAGCACTGAGTCAAATCCTCATACTCAAGAGGCACTGTCCTACTTCACACTCCAGACATCAAGCTAGAAATGTTACATATACTGTCACTGTCGTGCTGGAGTACAGCACAAGCCTATTAGACAATCAGTATGTTTGAATGAGGGCATTAAAGCTCAGAGAGGGGAGGTGAGCTGGCCAAAGTCACCCAGCCATTTTCCTAGCCAGTGTTTTTCTAACTTTTATGTGTATTCAAATCACCTGGGATCTTTTTAAATACAAATTCTGATTAGTAGGCCTGGAGTGGGACCTGTGATTCTGCATCCATCGTGAACTTCCAGGGTAATGTGCATACTGAAGGGCCCAGAGACTACAATCTGAATATGTAGAGTGTGAATCACTGTATTTTATTGTTCTCTTTTATAGCAGCAGAAGAAATAATGCTTAGAGATCAGCAGACACTGTGATAAAGCAAGCACTCAAAAGCAAGTCTCCCTGGCCCTAAAGTTTACTCAGGCAACTTATGAAATATCACTTTGCAGGGGGTGAAGTAGATGGGCACTGGACCCCAAGAGCCACAGGTTCAAGTCTCAGCCCCACCAACAAACACCTGGCACAGTTCTTACTACTCCAGCCCCAGTTTGCTTCTTCCAAAAATGTTGGTTCCTGCTTCACAGGGCTGTTTGACAATTACAGTGTGGAAAAAAAAAGTGTATTTGGAGCATAAATTAGATTTTGCATATAAGGATTATCATAATGTCAGGAAAAAGTAGGAACAATGGTAATAAACAGCTCCATAGAATTTCCTACATGCTCAATAATTGTTAACTGATCTTACATGATGTGTGGCCACATTTTAATCAATTGGCTTTTTCTTAACTTTATCAGTAATATATGCTCATGCTGGAAGTTTAACAAATAGTGAAGATATAAAGAAAATAATCATGCTTGTATACATAACTCACAAAGGTAGTAACAAGTGATATTGTGGTGGTGTTCATTTCTCTATTCTATTTTCTTGTTTTATAACATGGAATTATTAACCACCTGAGTATGGCTATGCTTTTTAATAAATGGGCACATGTAGCCATTCAAATTTAAGTATAAGTCACTAAAACTGAAATTAAAGATTTAATCCTTCATTTGTTTTTACCACCTTTCAAATGCTCAATAGGTACATATACTGATGACTCCCATACTGAAGGCTACAGATATTTCCAAAGAAACTTCCATTGGATGGTACTAGATATGGTCCCATATCTTGCTGTCACCCACTTAGCTCTATAGCATATACAGTCTTACAAATCATCCTTCTCCAAAAAAATACTTTAACTGTCTGAACTACAGAGATATGCTATGATTTTTTTTAACTAGTCTTCTATTCTGGGAAATTTAGGTTGCTTCCAAATGTTCACTGCTATAAATAATGTTCCAGTGAACACCCATGAACATCAACTTTTACATTTTTCTGTATTTATTACTGTAAAATAAATATCTGTCTACAAGTAAAATTATGGGGCCAAAGGACATGGGTTTTTTTTTTTTAAAGACTTTGGATATATACTTCCAATAGTACTCTAGGAAAGTTGTGTCAATTTACCCTCCCAGTGTTATTTATTTTAGTGTTTTCCAATCTGAGAAAAAAATATACTTCATTTTTATTGAATTTCTGTCCTTACTGAGGAGATTGAAGTCTTTATAGAAGCTTCCAGACAATTTTATCAGTTCACACAAATTATTTACAAAACAACAAACTTGTCAAAGTGTCCATTGAGAATATAGCATCTACTCACCAGCTGAAATATGGAGAATCTGCCCAGAGCCCATCTGCGCATTAAACCCATGCTGGGCAGAACAGAGGCCCAGTAAATATTTACATGTCTTGGCTGAATCAGTGACAAATGTGTGCTTTTTCCCAGTGACACTGCTGGTGATGGTGAATTTTTTCCGCTAAAAGAAACAAACACACACTTTAATATGCTGACCATCCCTGTCTGTTCACTGAAACACAAGTGTCCAGATAATAATAGCTCACTCAGTCTCCCAGCTCAGCATCAGCATACTAGGTATCCAGGGGTATATGGCACATATTGACCCAACTTATTTTTCTTAGACCAAAGAAAATCCTTCTTGCCAGGCATGGTGGCGCACGCCTGTAATCCCAGCAGCTCAGGAGGCTGAGACAGGAGTATCATGAGCTCAAAGCCAGCCTCAGCAAAAGCAAGGTGCTGAGCAATTCAGAGAGACCCTGTCTTTAAATAAAATACAAAATACAGCTGGGATATGGCTCAGTAATCGAGTACCCCTGAGTTCAATCCCTGGTACCAAAGAAAAGAAAATCTATTTTTATTTTTCCTTCATTCATAAAACATTTATCAGGCAATTTCAATGTGCAAAGGATGTGCTGGATAGAAAGAATATGAAATAGATCTGGTCCGTACTTGGCCCCCATATTTCTGTGTGCAATATGAAAACACCATTAAATCTGATTCCTGTTCTTTTTATTGTACCAACTCCAAGAAGTTGCAGATAAAATCTTAGCTAGTCGGGCATTGGCAAGACAAAAACACTTGTATGTGTTCTAATATTTCTTGTTATTATGTGCCAGGTTCTTTTCGTAAATCTTAACTTCTTGTCTTCACAGCTACAGAATGAACTTTATATTTATTCTAAAAATGAGGAAAGAGAGAAAGAGTCCTCAAAATGCAACAGGAATTGAGGTCGTACCACCAAGAAATCCTTTCCTACATTATATCTTCTAGACCCACATGCAAAACAATAATATTCATAGAGCTCACTGGACTAAATTGGTGAGTATTACTACCTGGGGTTATTAACATGGAGCTTTATAAATAAAGTCATAACTTTTTGCAATATATAATTTTGAACAAGAACAAAGAAATACGGATGATATTAAATATGAATTGATACATAACTTCCAAATAAATCTCTATTCTAAATATTATGTATGTTTAAATTAAGAACCTTGAGCTTTCTCTATAAAGATAATTTTATAAAAACAGGTTTATGTTTTAAAGAACCCCCTAAAATTCCTGATCTTCCTGATGGCTGATCTCCTCTAAGTCCCCTTAGTCATCATTTGTAAGAATTCTATCCATACGAGTCAGATATTAATGAGAAGCAGATAACTGTTTATTATTGCCTTTCCTCTGAGAAACTCCTTTTCATCGTTGACCTAATTTCAGATAATTTAATCATTCTCTAAATATTCTTTACTTTCATTGATAAATGTAGCTCTAAGCCTCCTTATTACAATGTTAGTGGATTCTGAATCTGTGGATATAATAGTTCTTTAAATAATGCATTTTCTCAAGTATTCATTCATATTGCTCTTCTGGTCTTCAAAATTCTTCCTTAGTCCTCCAATCAGTCATTTTATGGCCACTTTCAAAGTTGAACATTTTCTCAGAATCCATGCATTTTTGTCAGTACACACTGATATGCTTTCCCATAGTCTCAACATTTTATTTCAACTTCATTCATTCAGATATTAAATTTTTTTAGATAACCAAGTCACTCTTTTTAATCTAATAACTACTGTTTAACAAATCTGAAAAGGGGGAATCATTCATAAACACACACACACACACACACACACACACACACCACACACTCACACACACTTGTTTCAGTTTATAAACTCAATGAAATCCTCCTTTTGGGTGACAATGCTCTAAGGTAATAAACAGAAAGTGGAATATCCATCCTATTTCTTGGCACAAAGCTGAAAACAGCCTTGACTGAAATGGGTTAGGATTTTATGTGTATTTATCGCCACTCTGATAACATCATTTAATGGGAAATTCACATCTGCAGGCAAACTTTGTCAGGAGCAAGATGCTCTGTGAACAAGATGATGTAAAATTTCAATATCAGAATTTTCAGCACAAACATAAAACCTTTCTTAAGCCCCTATGGTTGCAGTACAAATATTCCAGGTGTTTCTGTAATATCATGTTGTTTCAAAGCATTAGTTTACTATTTCAAATAGTTCATCCACAGAAGTTGTTGCTGTTTGCTTGCTGGCTTGAGTATTTGTTTGTTTTGATACATCTTTGTAAAACAACAACTTTCTTCCAGGCAGAGATTTGTCATGAATCTCATGAAGCTTTGCAAAGCTTCTTGCATCCATGTGAATGGATTCTAAATCTATTGATTCAGGGCCCTTACTTGGGCAGGTCCTTTCCTGCGAGGGGTCCTGGCAATGTGCTCCCAGGGTCTGGTGAGATGTGGAAAGTAAGATGTTTTTACTGCAATCCATCAAGCCACCAACTCTACCTTTCCCTTTGACTTTTCCTAAGCTATAGCTTGGATTTTAAATGCCCATCAAATAAGAAGACAGTGGATTAGAGGAAGGATACACTTCCTAGCAATTCCTCAGCACCAGATTTACAAAGCAGGATGATTTTGCCCCCAGGCAGGTGGGTAATAAATTGAGCTCACTGAAATTGAATACTGGACTGCAAAAAGAAACTATACAGATACAGAAAATCAGAAACTTCAAATGGAATAAAATACATAGTGTTAGAGATGTGCCAGTGTGGCTGGCTGTGGCAGGAGCTGCAACAGCAGCCACTGAGGGGAGAGAGGACAGCAGGTAGAAAGACAAGACAGTGTGGCAAATAACAACAATAAAAATAAATTAAATTTCAAAGATTTTGGCTTGGGAGAACCTGTGGATTAGTGAGAGACATTGATCTTAATGAACAAAGAGTTGGTGGGAGAAAGTAGTTCATTAAGACAAACCCCAAATTGCTTGAGCCCCAAGGGCAGACAGCTCAGTGGTAACTGACATTGCTGACCCAGAAAATGACCAGAGTTGCAGCCTGGAAACTATCTATCAACACTGCACAGCAGTGAGGAGAGACAAATCAGGATATGTGAAGGAAGTATCCAGCAGTCACATACTATGACCTGCAGTGTGTGCCTGAACCAGAGCTACTGAAATAGACACAAAGAAAATCTTTGTTGCTAGGACCCCATGAGAACTATTGGAAAGACACTGATAGTGGCCACACAGGAGCATCTGCAGTCTTGGGCGGATACCTGGTAATTCACATTCACAGTGGTAAAGGTGAATCATGTGCAGGCTTAGTCCCTATATCCTAAAAATGGATTTTACCAGAGGCCCCAGAGATCCAGATGTCCTGGAAGCTCCCCAGTAACAGAGGGCATGGATCAAATCTCAAATATCTACCAACAGAGTTCCAAAATTCACCCAAGACTAAATCCCAACTACTGGAACTTCCAATTTGAACTCTGTGTTACCCCCACTACCACCACCCCACACACAGGATTACACAATTCATAAGCACTCCCCAGTCTATCCCACCCTATACTAGGAGACTAAAACCTGAGAGCTACACCACCTGGCCAGCAAGTATGAGGAACACAAAGACATTGAACTTAACAACCCCCAGCCTTTGACCCAAGGATTGCAGAGCCAAAAATAAATAGAAAGAATGGAAATCCATCCCTGCCAACAGTTTGATCACTGTAGCAGAAACAAGCCCTCTATTTCTCATTAGGATTTTTTTCTTTTTCTCTTTTTCCTTATTTATTTTTTTAAAGAGAGAGAGAGAGAATTTTAATATTTATTTTTTATTTTTCTGGCAGGACACAACATTTGTTTGCATGTGGTGCTGAGGATCAAACTTGGGCCACACGCATGCCAGGAGAGCGCGCTACCACTTGAGCCACATCCCCAGCCCTTTCCTTATTTATTTATTCTCTGTATTCCCATTTATTGTAATCTTTTTTAAGTTTTAATTTTAAAAAAAAAATTTCAAGCATCATTTCTTGTATTATTGTTTAATTTTTTCCATTATGCATAATTTTATGTGTATGTGTATGTAAATGTGTGTGTGTTCTCACTGCATGAATAGATTTAGAGAATATATACTATGTGTGTGTGTGTGTGTATTCATATAATTTCACCTTCACATTAGTAGCTTTCTTCTGCATTTATTACTCAGCCTTGATTTGACTTAGGTGGGGTGTGACTTATAAGAAGATTCAGGTTATTTTGATCTTACATTTTCTGGTTTGTTCATATCTTGGTTCTTGTCCCTCCTATCTCTCCTTCTTCACTCTCTTCCCTCAGTAACAACCAAATTTTCCTGTTACCTTTTCCTCTTTTTCTTTTTTCATTATTTTCAGTTATTTTTTATTCCTTATTTTTTATAGCTGATATCTGCTACCTATATCCTGACCCTCTGATCACTTTTTAAAATATTTCAAAATGTTTTTGCCTTCCAACACTATTTTCTCTTACCTAGGAAAGTGTAATAACATTAAATAATACAATTATATAGTTTATGTAATTCCTATGCCACTCATGTTGTTGCGATCATTAATACAGTGGACAACATACAATATACCTGTTGACAAATGCCTTATCTAATTCATAGTTTTTTATTATTGATATTAATATTAAATGGTGGCCCCACTAATCCTACACCAGTGACAATTAGTATTGCATATGTCAAGGTGGACATTGATCACTTATCTTAAGGCTGTACATCTGTTGCTGACATTGGTGCTATTCTTGGTCACCCTTCCATCTAAGAAAATCTGGAAAGTTTTCGGGACAAATCAAGACCACAGAGTAGAGATGTTGAGAAACATTCACAATTCAGTCAAGCAACAATGAACCTCACCCCACACATAATCTAGCCCCAACTGAGCCTTAGTATTACTCCAACTCAGAGAATTGAGGAGACAAAAAATCCAAAACAACAACCATGACACAGGGAAGAACAACCAGAGGACCTCAAGTCCCATCTACTCAAATATCAAAAAGTCTCTCTAAAAGTCTCAGAACAAAAAAGTTAACTACATAAAAGGCCATATGTGTAAAAGAGAAAGAGGAATGCATCTCAATTGATACTCAAGTCCAAGACCTCTGAAAACATGAAGAAACAAGCAAA